AAAGAAAAATAAAGCTTTTGAAAGTTTTGGTTTAACTTTTTCTGAACGCAGTTGTAACCAAATACCTTCGCAAAAAGAGGGAAAGTGTTTTAGTCCCCTAGAGTTGGCTTAGCAAAAGCAAACGCTTCCCAGTTCACTGAGCTCTGACTATACCATTGTAGTCACAGTTGCCAATTACTCTGCCTGACCTATTCTGCTTAAAACTAATTATGTGTATTTTTTAGTGTGAAACATATTTCCCTCTTCAAATGAAATATTACTATAGAAACTGTATAGAATTGCCTATACGTTAACTTAACACAATAACCGCCATGTCAAGCAAGTGTGTCTCAAAGGTAATGTATTGGTTCGGACCGTGTGAATCACTGATGCTTCACGCGAATTCTTTGGCTTTTTTGCATAGCTCAGCGACAGTTCACACTGGCGGTATAAATATATAATGACAGCTAAAGCGTGATCTATCAAATAAAATAAGCTGGCTGGTTTACGTAAAGGCCGCCAATTTTGTTCTAGGACGCTGCGTGAGACAAATTTCCTTCGTTTGCTTTATTATGTTCAGAAACATTTTTTTTGGACAGCTTTTGTCAAACAAATTATTACATCACTATTTTAATGATTGTGCATGTACAATGAGTCAGTTGTTTGCTTGGCCAAGCAGATCGAAGCAATTTTTTGTATTGTGGCAATTAATGTGTTAATACTCGATTTTCAAACAAAAAACACGACATTTAAACAATGCAATTTAATCATATTTAGAAACGATTATTTGTCATTTATAGTAGATTTGGAAGTTAAAAATAGATAAATTATGCGCAAAACCTGAAAAAATAAACATTTTGGAGGAAAAAGTTCTGAACAAAATAAATTAAATTATGAACGGACTTTAGTTGAAATAAATATTAGAACAAAATGTTTTGCTTTTATAGCAGAATAAATTATCAGGGACTTTGTTTTAAATAGAAATAAAGTACAACAGTTTATTCTCTATTTTATAATAGATTTTCCTATGACAGCAATTTTAAATTTCTAATAAATGATTCCTTGTTCAAAATCATTTTCTTATAGAGTTATCATATTTTCTCATTTCAGTATCTATAAAGGAATGGTTTAATATGTATATTTATAAAATGCGGTTTTACTAAGGTTTCAATATTTATTTATAAAATACAATAAATATTGTTTTATAAAAACATAATACAATAAAATTTGTCTGATGTTTACAAAATTTAATTGTTGACATGGTAAAATTGAAATTATTTTTGGAAACTCTATATTTTAGACATATTCAATTCCTGATGATTCTAATCTTAATTTACTATCTTACCAATTTTTTTTGAAAATGAAGACTTTGTAAGTTTTGATAGATTCACAAAACTGAACTTCTTTATGTAAATAATGAGGTTCTTTTACCTCTGAAATGCAGGCTAACTCAAAAAATGCTCGTACAAGTTTTCATAAGACAGATGGAATATTAAACCATTGTTTCAGTCTCATAGACAATTAACTCCTGATGATGATAAGTCATAGTGTCTGGAAGATGTCTGGACAATCTATGAGGTTATAGATAAAAATTGAGAGCTGTGATTGATTTATTTACATGAATTTTTATCTTGCGAAAGAAAATTTTACATGACATGTATTGCAATCCCTAGATGAGGATAGAGTCAGTTGCTTATGTTAGCCAAACCTCAGAACACACAATGAATGTTCTTTACTTATTTAAACCATTTAGAAATAAACCTATTAGGTATACAGTTGCAAATCGTTCAAACGAAACAATTGTTAAATTGTATTCTTGAATAATAAAATTACACAAGTTATTCATTAATTTGCATAATGTTTTTACTTTCTTCAACCACATAAGGAGTGATTTCCAATTGGTTATAGGAAATAAATACATATATATTTTTTTAATTCCTCTGAAGTTTTCCTTCGAAATTAAAAGTTCAATTTAGTATATTTTTCCGTCATAAAATTTAAAACTTCACAGCATTCTTCATTTCACATTTCTTATGTTTCTCTTCAAGATCAACTAATGGAAATCGGTGTTCTGTTTATATGTTAAACATATTGGTCCCAAGTTGTCCTCACGGTTAAATAATTAACATTAATTAATTATTTTTCAACAGGTAGCGTTGTATAATTTTTTAAAGCTGCGTTTAACATTACATTTTTTGAAGAAGCAGAATGTAAAATCATGATGCAGAAATAAGAATTCACTAGTATATAAACAAAAAAAAATGCTTGAATAATTTTATTCTTTAATTTAGTTTCATCTGTGAATATAATTTGAAGTATGCAGTTTTGATCATATATTTTCGAGTGATGCACTAATGGCAAGAATCTTTGAATCTAAAATGTACCGTAATCATTATGATTAATAATTTCCGATTGGAAACTTAAAAAAATAAAATTACAAATTTAAGTATGAAACTAATACATCATGAATGCTAGCAAATAATTTAAATGAATAAATTATCTTCAGAATAATACGCTCAAAATAGCAGTGTGAAAGAAACCATCTTCTTTTCTTCTATCTGCAATTTTCTAAATAAAAAAAAGCATAAAGAAATACTACTTTATTTCCTGAGCTCAGTAATCTGCTGTTTTAAGGAGTTAAAACCTGGCAATTTCATTTAAACAAGGTTTATCATTAATTTAAAGTATCGTAAGTGTGCACAATAGATTTAAAACACCACGTTTTAGATAACGACTCGCGGCAGTTAAATTCTGAAAAGAATTCATTGCAAAAAAAGAAGTTGAATCGAATGAAAAAATTCCGTTTTATCGTTCTCATTTAAAGAGTAATGGAGGATTATACGGAAAAGCTTATTTTAAATAATAAAATGAATTTTTTCAGGATTTATTTTCCATTTTGAATAATTGCGTTTTCAGATAAAATCTGGAAAAATTAATGAGGAAGATTTTGAAACATTCTTTCATTTGTAAAACTGAGCGCATAAATATTTCCTTTTGTTTCGATTTCTATGCCTTTTTTCATCAAATGCTTAATAAAACGTCGGATTTTGTTTAATTTCATTGCGAATTTTATGATTCCGAGAAAGAAATTAAATTTAATAATGAATCTAAATTTGATAAAATACCGCATATTTATTTCAGTACTAAAGATACATGGTTTTTAAATCATGTGTGTATACCTTTTTAGTCTTACCGAGAGTGCTTTAGTCTACAATATGAAAACTGTGTTATAAGAAAAATGTATATATTTTTAACAAGAATATTTCTTTTAAATTATTATTTATATGTTCAAAACGGATTTAATAGTAGTTCTAAAAATAAATATACGTAAAAGATATAAGTAAGTCCTGACAGATATTCTGAAACAAAAAATATATATTCTGATATTTTGAGTCACTCGATTTTTCCTCATACATTTAAATTATTAATAGTAATTGATTTCCAAAATTGTTTCTTCATTAAATTGTATTTGTATAATATAATTTTAAGTAGAAGCATATGCAAATGAGTGTCACAATAACGCAAATAGCTATGAAATAATGAAACATAATTGTTAATAGAAGGAAGGACCTCCCTTTTCCTTAATTACAGATTGTGTGCAAAGTGTGATGTATTAATTGAAGTCCTGTACTCTATTTTAGGGGATTGCAACTAGAGAACTATCTAATTCCAAAGGTGTGGCCGGAGTGGAAATCGAACATGGAGTGTTGACTTATATCCACACAAACGTTCAGTAATGTTCGTGTCAGGGGATTGAAGAGGCGCCAGAGGAGATGTTATGCTTCATCACCATATTTTTCAACAATTCTTGAGCACACTTAGAAGTGTGGAAAGGATCTTTGTCATCTTTAAAGAGCGGTTTATCTCCAGGGAAGACAGTCTGGAGAAGCGGATGTGACTCATCGGCCAGAATGTTTCGACAGTGATCGCCTTTTATCCTCCCACACAAGAGAACTCTTGGACAAAGTTCGCGTTCAGAGTCGGGAACAGTCAGGTAGCGTTATACGCATTTCGGAACCATCTCCACGCATACACTCCACTTATGGTCTGAAAGAGAATATAATTCTCTGATGAATAAGAATTCATCAGACTAGATTACACGCTACCGCTACTGTGGGATCCATTCTTAGTTATTTCTGCACCATTGGCGTCGCTTGCAAGCATTGCGTGGCTTGACCAAGTGGATTATGACAGCCAACTCTGCCATAAATTTTCACAGAATGAAGTTCTCTTTCCACAGTTTTGGAGAAAATGGGATTCTATGCATGTCTGTCCAAATTTGATGTTACTGGGACCATCCATTGCAACCAAAATGAACTTTAGCATCCGTATATCTCCATCTGTCATCTTGTACGTCGGTTCACTGTTGTGCTTTGCTGGGACTATCTTACCGTTAACCATCATCCACTGGCCATGGACCCTTTCCTTCCTTCCTTAAAAGGTTCAACCTCTATCGCAGAAATCGTTCTGCCTGTGGGGAAGTGGGCGCTCCTCTTTTCTCTGCTACTAGCTGCCTGTTAACCGTCTCTTTCCACATAACGAAACCAAGTGATCATCTCATCGATCATTGGTGGAAAGGCTGCCTCTCCAACAAATACTCGAGTTACGAAATCATCCCACTAGTGAACTTCCTTACTGATAAAGAGGTCTTGTTTAAATTGGACCCTGGAATTGACAGTAATTTTTCAGACACTGACTCGGACATCGAGGTCGCTATCCCCCAATAACAAGGCACTCATTAACGAGTTTGTTTATAATGTTTTTCCTTTATGTTCTTTTCTTTAAAATGCTGCACCATTATCTTAGAGTGTTTGATAATTAGTGTGTACCTTTGTATATTCACTTGGATTTATTATTTTATGTATTTAATTTCTTTTATATATTTTTGTTGTATTATAATTCTATGTTAATTGCTCAATAAAGTTTCTATTTACTCCCATCCAAACTGCTAACCGGAGATTTTTATCTTTGGAGTCAGGAGTGTGTCCTAGTATAATGTAATGCCACAACGGCTTCCAACTGCCATACCATGTTGAGAACACTGGTTCTCGTCTGAACACCGCAGTTAAGCAGCATCGGGCGAGGTCAGTACTTAGGAGAGTGACCACCTGGGAACGCAGCGTGTGTTTGCATCTTTTTGTCCCATATCCATTCAACTGATCAACAGTTGTAATGGTTCTAGGCACCGGCACATGTGGTGGCGTTAAGTCATAACCGCTGATACCGTTCTCCTTGCACGCACACTCCTCAACATTTATAGTTTCAGCTACCGAGCCTCCAACTGAACATGGTCCAATTACCTTTCGAATTCTTTCAGGTCTGGCATTGCAGATTCTCTCAGAGTGAATAATGGGCGCATGCAACTACTTCAACAGTTACTGATACGTTTATACACCTCCCTTCAGGGCCACTGAGTGGTCGGCTTCTATGGCAAGTGCATTACAACTCATCAAATTATCATCCTGGTTCCATCTATGTATATTTAGAAAATAAAGAAACATTTGCCAAAAACAAAAAAAAATTATAAGAAATAAAAGATAATCTAATTAGATCATTTAATATGAAATAACTAATAAAATCAATCTAGTGAGTTTAAATATTTCTTATTTATATAAACATACAAGAATTTCCTAGGAAACGCATTCTTCAACGCACAATCAATGAATTTCTCAACTCCAAACATCCAATTTGCGAATTCGGAGACAAGCAACTTATTTCTATGTATATAATTTAGAACTGTATTTTTGAATGCTAATCGACGTAAATTACTATCCCAATATGGAAATTTATTTATATTAAACTCCAAAGCATTTCTTTTATCAAAAATATTAGTACTTAATTTATTATTTACTATTTCACTCTAAAGATCAAGAACATCTGTTATTTATTAAAGTGTTGTTATTAGATTGTCGTGACATCTTATAAACCGAAATTAAAGAGCATGCACCAGTTGAAAACTGACGTACAACAAAAGTTCATGCACGAAAGTATTCCTGTTTTTGGTATTTCTTAAAATTCTCAACTTTGTATGAGCGTATAAGTGTTTTAAGAGAATTCTAACTATTACATGAATGAGTAAGATATATTTAACTTTTGTTTTTATTTCTTGCTCTTATTTGTATATTGATATTATGGCCACAGATATGTAGATAAATTACTTATGGAATTGCTTACCTAAAATACTTCAATTTATTGAACTTCCTAAGAAATACATAAATATTTTTCTTCAGAAAGTGTTTCGTTTCTTGAACTAAAAGCAATTATTTTGTTAATACAACTGAAAAATTAGTGCCTGTTCTGATCCAACAAAATATAGACAACAAATATTTTAAAAACAGAACGAACAAAAGTGCTTATTATTACAGTAGAACCTGCGTTGCATAATTTATCTATTCAGTTTTCAAGTCAAACATTTTAATTTTGCAATTTCTTGTCACAGTGCGAATATACCTAATATTCTCTGACAGCGAAAATATTCCTTATATTCAGAGTAAAGTAGTGAACGCAACTGCTGGCTTGCACGTCAGTTCCAACAGCTCAATAACTCGCAGTGATATTAGGAATAAGTCTCCGATATTAAGGAGTACGTGGCACTTCTACCGACGCAAAGCAATAACTTTCTTATTAATCAAAATATTAATCCGCCGAAAGAGCTCGCCGTTGCTTATGAACAGTAGTAAAAATAAATTAACGCTTGATTAACACGGAAAGTTTCAGAAGTGCTCCGAAATGCACAGAAATTAAGCGAGAGAAAAGTAGCTACTGGGACTCGGTAGAAGTGGGGCTGTAAATGACAGTGGCCTTTAGTTTCTCTTCTAAGTGAGGGGCCGTCTGCTCAGTGCATTGCTGCGGAACACTGGAATTAATTATTGTTCACTGAATCTTGGATATTACATTAAAACTAAATTTTGGTTTATAGGTTATTTTATGTTTTATACAAAATTGTGCATGAATTTTTACATTAACTCTCTGACTGCGTGTCCCGCATTTTCTGCAGATTGGAAGCAAGTCTATTTTCTGCTGCATCCTTTGATTTTCACAGGTTATTGTGTTTAGTAATTACTTTTACAGCGTTGGATGTTATTATACTAATAAAGCTTTCCATATAAATTACAATTAACTTCGCTTAACGGTATTTGAACACGTGTTCAAACGTTGCCTCCAAACGGTGATTTAAAAAAATGTGCATGTATTTAGACAGTAACTCTCTGACAGCGTGTCCCGCGTTTCCTGCGGATTGGAAGCAAGTCTATTTTCTGCTGCATCCTACGATTTTCACAGGCTAATGTGTTTAGTTAGTACTTATATAGCGTTGGATCATATTATACTAATAAAGCTTTGAATATAAATTAAAACTAGTTTGGCTCAACGGTATTTGAACACGTGTTCAAACGTTGCATCTAAACGGTGATTTGAAAAAAAATTGTGCATGTATTTAGACAGTACCCCTCTGACAGCGTGCCCCGCGTTTTCTGCGGAATGGAAGGAAGTCTATTTTCTGCTGCATCCAATGATTTTTACAGGCTAATGTGTTTAGTTAGTGCTTTTATGGCGTTGGATCATATTATACTAATAAAGCTTTTCATACAAATTACAACTAGCTTTACTAAACGGTATTTGAACACGTTTGCAAACGTTGCATCTAAACGGTGATTTAAAAAATTACTCAGTTAGATGTTAAATAGTCTGTAAAAATTTCCCCAGACGCATTTCATTTTCGAAGAGAAAAATTGGAAATAAGTTTGAAATAAAAAATAAATATAAAATTTATTGATGATGAGTATTAAGAGATGTTTCATCAACATTACTAAAATTTGCAATCTAACTACCTCAAGAGCTTATAGAACGAAACAATAAAACCCAGGTCCAAAAAAAGACCTCGTATCACGTTCCTGAAAATGTTCCGACTGTTTAATGAAAGCGTGTAAAATCTTAAGAACTACTGTAAATTTTACCAATAACGTTTATCATTCTTTGCTTCCTAATCTGAAAACGTTCGGCGTCGTACATTGCATCGTTTATGAAAACTGACATAACAGATGATCATGATATTTAAACCTACGGTCGCATGTATTACGCTCATATCGCTTTCATATAGAAGAAGGCGGATTTTATTGAAAAGAGAAAAAATTACATTATATGGCACATAGAAATTAAAAGAAAGAAAATTGCATTATATGTAAAGGCAAAGAAAGACGAGATTAAATAAAAAGAAAACAATGTTCTGCATGTGAAATTCAAAAATGCGAAATAAAAACTAAATAATATATTGTTATTAGAAATGCTATTACGGACATCGCTTTATATGCTTTTCACAATAATTGGAGAAAAGAGATCCTTTGATCGTTGCATGATTTTTTAAAATAAAGAGTTAGAATTTGTGCCTTGTATCAATTATAGGGTGTCCTAGAAACATTCGCACGACTTCAAAATTTTATTTAAAAAAGAAGAATAGGTCTACAGCAAAGATTTTTGCAGTTATGGACCGAACAACTCATTTCTTTACTGTTTCTTGGTCATAGATGGCGTTGCACGACACATAAAAATGACTCATTGAAAATGGCGTCTCCCGAGAAGAAAGAGCAATGTGTTCTGTTTTATGTGATGTTCTTCTGAGATTATATGAAATATGTTGTGTACCGAACAAAAGTTCACAATGTGTTGGAATCGAAGCAACGATTCCAAGCCGCTATAGAAATTGTTGATCAAGGCGTGCTTCAACGTTCCTGAAAGGAATTAGAATATCGACTTGAAATTATTCGTGCTTCGAAGAGATCTCATGAAGAACTTTACAAAGACGGTAAAAACTGAATAAGAATGCATAGACAATTTAAAATACAACAAAGGATTTAAAAACCAATCACCACGTATGGAGTACGGAGATAACAAAGGGGAAAACATTATCTTGAATATGAAATGGAAATATATAGAGAAAAGGAGTTCCATTTTCAGAGGGATACATATGAAACATTCTATAATTGTCAACTAAACAATTTAAATAAAATTTAAAGTTTTACAATAAATGGATGACATTTTGAAATCAAGGATTGTACTAAATATGAAAGTAAAATATTAAACAATATATGAAATGCAAAAAAAGGATGAGAATGTCGAAAGATTAAATACAGACATCGCGCAATGTAACAACCTTAAACACTGAAATTTTTAAAAAAACATTTTAAATTTCAACACTGAAATTTGAAAACAAATTTGGTAAAAATTTTATAAAATTCTAGTTAATTTGCCAGCAATGCGATTTTTTAGTTATGAAAATCTATAGGAAAAAAGATGTATATACTTTCAGGTAATTTGCCATCTAAATAACGCCGTTCGAAACGTAGGATATGAAGAACGTAGGAAAATTAATGTTTCAATAATGTAGATAAATATTTATATTCTGACAACTATAATGCTTTGGCCGTGGAAATTGGAAAAAGGAGAAAACGCAAACACAACAAACCAGCAGAAAAGTTTTGACTGGCCATATTTTTATATAAATTGCATTTGACATATGTTATTAACATGAAGATTAAAAAGTAAAGAAGATATAAAATCGCCCTTATTTGAAGTGAGTGAATATAAAGAAATGGGCTGAATAGAATAATTTTGAAAGTTGATGAAAAGATGCGAATTTTCTCAGAGTTAGAGTATAGATTCTTAAGTTGTTCCATGCGCAATTTTTTTCAAATATCTGTTCGGAGTAACCTTTAATTATAGATTATGAATTTTTTCATAAATATTATTTGTTTTCTTTTCGCTGAATTACTAAAAAATTTTGATAACATATTGATTTTTCTCCGATTCCAAGAAAGAGTAAAAAGGGAGAAAGTTGCTAAATATATAGTACTATAGAATTTTTCCCAAGCACACATAATTCAGAATCTGTTGAGTGAAAACTGTCCAAGAATTATGGAAAAATTCTGATCAGAAATATAATTTCGTCTCATTTCCAAAACTCTGGCTTCATGAAAGCTCTTTTAATAACTTTTGCAGAGATCTCGGCTTGTGTTGCAATTTTCTTTCAGATTTTGCATTTTTTTCTTTTTGAAAAATTCTGTCGCTGCTTCTGAATTCCTCTGCAGCGACAACATTTGCCATGAATGTTTTGGCAATTTTTAAAGG